ACGGCTTCTGTTGTTCCAGCAATCCTGACGAAGAATTTGTTCTTTGGTATCCTTTTTTTTCTAGCTATTTATTTTGCTTTCCAGGCATTCAAGGTTATCGATTGAACGTGTATTAAAACGTAAGTTCTGGAAAATCTGCATAGCATAGCTTCTGAAATAACGACTATACTTGTCCGAGTTTTATCCAACTTGTTTTCTGTCGTGAAGCAGGACCTATCTTTCTGTTCTAGTCTTCAGTGTTCAGTGTTACTTTACATTTTAGTAGTTTTCTATGTATCCTCCTTGCAAATCCCAGTAATACGATGTCCTCTATTATCTTGTAATACCATTTTTGGTCAGTTGAATTACTAAATGAGTCAAGTCTAAACCACTAAACCATCGATTCGTCCCTATAACCTGCGTGGGTGGCGGTACCCAATAGTTTTTGCTGGTAATAGGCTCGATGATAATGAAGAGAATCACACCTTTTAAATAGTGTTGTTTATTCCTTGTTTTGACGAACGGTTACCTGTACTTGATTAGCCAGGATCTCCCAGGTTGTAGTTTTACTTCTAACTGGGAGAAACTTCAAACTTCGTATCAGCTTGTGAGACTTTGCTGCTGGGTGAACTCTTACTATACATCGCACTTTGATATGTAAGAACGCGCCCATTTGAAAGGTTAGTTACTTTAATATCTGAAATGTTTTCTAAACTTCATGAATTCTCCATACTAATGCCGTCAATGTAGCTATGATCGTTGTGTTGTTGGGTTTTTAGGTAAAGTTAGAGGTTAGTTTTATCCGTTCCTCTGAGACGAGATTGCTAACAGCATATTTTCGGTCGTAGAATGCAGTCTCAGTCTTGCAACTAGAAGAAAGACATTCGTGATGAAACTATCCGATAACAAACTTTTTATTACGGACTTCTAATCGAAGCTACCTCCTAACGGTTTACCGCCTCATCGTGTCTGGGTGGTGTTCCTTGGTGTCGGGCTGCGATGTATAATGGGATGATTTTCTCTGTGAGTCTCTCAATCTAACTCAAATGATTGGTTTCGTATAAAATGAGAACATATTGGTCGATTTTCTTTAAATTCATTGTATTCGTTTGAACGATTGCGTAATACCTAAGCAGAATGAAAAACCATTAAATGCTGTCGAACGAGTTGTCGAGAGAGCAGTGCTGGATATCTCCCGTATCATGCGAGTGAGAGAAGGAATCCTTCATTCCAACATACATCTGCGATCAAAGATCTTAAACGCTATTGTTTATATCAAAATATCGAAAATCAGGTGGGCCGGACACATGATGCGTCTGAACGACAACCAAGGGCAAAGCCTGTTAGCAACTAGGTACCTCGGGATGTCAGTTGCAGTGTTTGCTTTTTTTCTTCTCTATACTTCATGTGCCAACTTTCATTTTCTTAAGTATCCTCCCGGAATGCCCTGCTTCAAGGGCTCTTTCTAATATATCAGTTCTCAGCACCTCATCATAGGACAACACAGCTTAGTTCTTATTTGCTGTGCAGGTTATTGAAAACTAACTGATTATGCTAATCGTTTTTTCCTAAACGAACGTAATAATCACAAGGGATCAGGAAAAGTGACGACATTTAGTGCGTTTTGGAATGATGGAAGTCAGACAGGTGTGAAATAAACCTAACGTTACCCACATGAACTTGGTTTCAAGCAAAGTAGAAACCTACAATTTTATCTGGTCTGCAAGCTTACGATAAGTGTCTGAGGGAATTGTTCTACTGTGGTACGATCGAAGTATGACTGGTCGCTTGACTAGTTGTGAACCTGTAGTTTTAGTCGAGTGGTAATGTGGAAACTACCATTTAGTTTCGAAATCGTTGATAGTTTGGAAAATCAAGTTTCTTTTAGCCTCGGGATGACTAATCAATGTGTGATCTTTCATTTACAAGCTAACATAAAAAAGGATAAAGCTATCGGCGTTCGTCAATCCCTGAAGGATGCGCTATGCACTCGACTTCATTAAGCATTGTTTGGAGGTGATTGAATGCATATCTGGCCTTTACAATGACTCACGGTGGCCTGCCGATGTATCGAGCCAGTGCTGCTATCCTCCCAGACAAGTCTGGTACCAATTTACCGACTCTGGAGGGATGGAAGGCATGGTGGGCCGTGGGCACTTGGATCGATTTCATGTGTGTGTTTCAGGGCGCCGCGCCACACGCGCCTCTAACAAGCTGACATGGAATTGACAAAAGCACTTTATTCGGTCAATGTTTTGGCGTCTTCGCCTTATTCAGGTCCGGATTGATCCGAATCGATTGTCCACAATTTTCTTTCTTCTAATGTAGGTCGTCGTGGTCCCATCTAATGGAATTAGGTGGATTATCGCTCCCAGTCAGGAAACCTCACCCGATAGCGCTGTTTTGTACAGGACTGTTGCTGTTGATACTGATTGTCTTCTGGTAATTGTTTGTTTTTCACCGAACTATCCATGTTATAGCACCGAGCTTAAAGTCGGTCTTTCAAAGATTGTTGTGCTCTTTGCTAGCTTCTAATGATACCGAGTGCTGTAGGATGCATTGTCCGGTGAAAAACAAACGATTATCAACAGGCAATCACTATCAACAACAAGCGTTCTGTACAGAAAGCGAGGTCGTCTCATGCGGGCGCTACTACTCCTTTGACTTCGGCTCGATATGACCACGAAGGCCCACATCGGAGGAACGAAGGACCGTCGGCAATCGACTCGGATTAATTCGGTTTTGAGGAAGGCGAAAGCGCCGAAACGTTAGAAAGATAAAGCGTTTTTATTAGTCTCGTGTTAGCTTATCAATAAAAAAACACATATCGACCGTGATGCCTGAAGTGGTAGTTAGCTATTTTTTGTTCCTGAAGGTTTTTTTGCTGGACGATCCTTGTCAAGGCGGCCCTAACTAATCGCCACAAGTAACCTGGTGTGGTCTGGAATTAACCCCACAAGCAAACTGTAGCCGTTCTAGTCAAAAGAGGTCATGCCACTTTCGAGGGCGTTGCGAGATCGTTACCTTGGGCAGTTCTTCGTCACTTCTTTTCGTAGAGAAGTCTCCTTCAGTATTGGGGTTCCTGCCACAACAAGGACAATTTCTAAGATTTATTTATATGATCTTATAAACTGATCTTCTTAAGCCGACGCGAGGTTGGTACAGGTTTTCGCTGTCGTTGTTGTTGTCGTTACCGTTGCTGTTGTTGGACGATGTGGGACTCTCACACGTAACATCACGGCTGTGAAGAAGGCGAAGTCGCCGAAACGTCAGCCATCGACCAACAACATCAAAAACAACGACAACGACAACGAAGACCTGTACCAACCTCGCGTCAGCTTGAGATTAGTTTATAAGATCGTATAAATAAATATATCAACTCTCTATGCCGAGATTTATAGAAAGTCGGGCTTTCGAATTTCTAAGATTGTCTACTACCGATTTGCCTTGCAGATTTAAGTGTCGAACTCCTCTTCATGACGGGTTCTGACATCTGCGAATGAATTCGCTACATTTTCTCACGAATCACAACCAGAATCATTACTGCTCACGGGAAGGCGATCAATTATTGAGGATGTTTCATTTCTTTAACTCGTTAAGGTTTCTTCTTTGTACTTCACAAAACTAACACTGACTAAAATTGTCTTCAAAAGTTTTGCGTCAGTTCCAGTTTTTACGAACATTTCGCTTTTCGACAGTATCACCTCAAATGTGCGTCGAATTTATCTTTCATCTGTTTTAGTCATATTTAACCCCCTGCTCATTATTTCACTAGCCATTCGAAAGGTGTTGGTTTTCAGGCTTAGCTCTAAGTGTTTCATTTTCATTCTGTAGAGTAATGAAGTTTGTTCCGTCTTCTTTTTCTCTTTTTGTAATCTCACCTCCTACTCGAGGATATTCCTATGCTGTGTTTTTTAGACAAACTAGTCTCTTTACTAACTTCGTTCCATAGAATGTACAGCTTGTCCCTTACTGATTGAACCTATTGATTGGATAATTCAGTAGATCAGAGCCCAGCAGTGAATTCCTGGCCAGACTTGCTTGGCGTGTTTGTTTACCTTGCGAACTTTGAACATATTCGACGTTTAGTTCTAATCTTCTAGCAAAGTTGGTTTTTAGTGGAAGAAGAAGTCTGGAAGTTTGTTCTTTATTCCGGATGAGTCATAGACGAGTTTGTATTCGTATCCATTATCTCAAATGGGTAAAACCTTTCACCTCTTGCTTGTTCTCATATACAGGTATAATTCCTCTGTTATCTCAATCAAGACGTCTTTCTAAGTGTTACGATGTTCTAAAGTGTTTCAATGTTCTTGACGCTGCTACATTTTGTTTTAGCATTTACTGGCTATTGATTGAATTTGCTTTGGATTTTGCTGAATCATGGGATATCAGTGACCACTAAGAGCAATAATGCCAGACACTGCAACACTGTGGAGCAAACTTGCTAACTAAAGCGTTTTTCGATTATTGTTAAGCTTAAAACTGGAAGCGAAGAGAAAGAAACGAGGTGAAGTAACGGAGATGAATGGACGTTGGTCGTACTTCAAGCCTCAAGTAGGGTTTTATTTGGAAAAAATCTACTTTTTTGCAGTGCTGAACATCGTCTTGAAGTTTGTAGTAGTTATTCCTTAAGTTTAATGTTTATCAACTTTATGCATTTCAGAGCGACTTAAAGTACCCGCATATTTTTGTCATTATTAGTTCCATTTTCTTGGCAGTAGCTCTTTATTTTTAGATCGAAGGTAGGTGTTAGTCCTGTGGAGGCTTTCATGTTTAGTTTTCTTCTTTCAAATGTTTTTGTTTCTTTTCCTGTCAAACGCTGTGATTTCTATGTGGTTGAAGATGCTCAACTCGTAAAAATGTATTGCTAGTGATTGTCATCATTTCGTAATGTATTTTTGTTTGTTTATCTCTTACTTTCTTTTTTTAGGTTACGCCTTCTCCCGAACGAACGTGTTTGATTTATTCCTTCAGGGTTTTGTGTTTGTGGTATATGTTAGACTTACAGGACCTCGGCTACTATGTTACGAGTGCTACTAAGTGGACCAGCAGGTAGTGGAAAACGTACGATAGCGAAGATGTTGTTGAAGGAATTCGATCAGTTTGGATATTTCTCTGCAGGGGATTTCATCAGAGACCACATTCAACGGGGTACAGGTGAGCGAGGTTTCATTTTGTTCCCCATTGACGCTAAATCGGCTCTGAACCCTTTTTCTTCTTCAGTGAAATATGAAGTAACAGTTGCCTATTTTACAGCATTACTTGAAAATTGGTGTTTATATGCTGTATGGTACTCGGTCGACTAGTCTTTTCCACTATTTCTTACATTAGGTTTGCAAGACAGTTTATATTTCAGAATTTGGACAAAGAGCTTCACCGTTTTTGCGCAAAGGAGAGCTCATACCAGACAGTATTTTGAACGGTATACTTTTAGATGAAGTACGACGAGCAAGATCGAAGCTGATTCTTGACGGTACGCTATATATGTTATGAAGTTCTTTAAGTAATTCTTAATCGTCTTCTTACCGATGTCTTACCTTTGCAACCAGTTTGAAAGAGATTTAAGAATTATTTGTTGATACCAACTCGTGAAAGTCGGACACTGTTCGCTGTTAAGTGCATTCTCAGAAAGAATCTGATAAGACAAAACACTCGGAGTAGTAATAAAAGTGGTAGTATAATTTGAAATTTACTTTACAAGTGAGGCTAGATTTTTTAGGATCTATGTCTTGTATTACTTGCTTACATAGATACTTGGATGGCCCATCCTCACTAGTTTTGCGAGCTTCAGCATAATTTCCACTTCTTCGGAGTTTTGCTGGTTTATTCATTGTGGTTCCCTGGAGTCCCAACGTCAGCCTAGCCAAAGTTTGCCCTAGGTCGTCACCACCACAGTCAGTGGCCGCCCATATGGATCAGGAGATTTGCCCCCATGTGTGTAGTTTGATACCAGGACGGTGGTGGATCTTCGTTTTGGTTTTTGGTTTACTCTTAGTTGGGCTTCCTGATGGAAACGCCGGAGTCGTTTTCAGTTTGAGAGACTCTGCTGAGCGGACGAATCTCGCCGCTGTACATCATAGGCCGGCACCGAGAAACACCTCCCAGCCATGATGAGGCGGTAAACCGATGGGAGGTCTCGTATTTATTAGTAATAATGAAAAGAAAATATTCGTATGATGTTGTTTATCGAATCCTCTACTTGGCTTTTAACTTTTTACACTGGTGTTTTGAACGAATATGGTCAGTGATTCAGATGCTTTAGCAATTTGTCGATTATTGAAAGAAATTGTGTCGGGACTTCGAAAAATTGGGTTTAAGTGGCCTTTAGCGTAGTGAGTTGTAAGGCGTTCCATTGAGAAAGTTAATAATGGCGTTTATTTCAATGCTTAGTGTTCCCCAATGGATATTTGATATTGAGCATTTGTTTCTTATGTCTAGGATTTCCACGTACAATAGCTCAGTTGAAAATGGTCGAGGAGGTAGCGCCTTTGGATCTTGTTATAGAGCTTCAGGTCAGAATTTTTACAGATGCCAACAAATTTTTCCAGTTTTCTGCAACTACAGTTGTTCCAAATGTCATTGGTTGCAATTCATTAGTTTCGAATCTGTATTCTCTTATGTCGTTTGTTTTTAAGTCGTTAAACTATATTTTTTTAGGTCCCTAAAAAGGTACTCATTGATCGTCTTTCAAAACAACTTGTGCACAAAGCATCCGGCAGGACGTATAATTCGGACTTCAATCCTCCAAAAGTTGAGGTTGGAGAACCTCCTTTTGATTCTCATGTTATTTCTTCTCCTCCAAAATCTGTTACTATGTGCTTTCTAAATAACTCCAACATTAGATTAAGTACTAGATTTAGTAACATAATGCTGTATGTATTTATCTAATGTCAATTTTTTGTATTACTGTAGAATAATGAGCTGAATTAGCAGTTTTTTATGATGGGAAAATCAAGGTACACGACGTCTTATGATCATGATTAGTAGTAATCAACATTAGGAAAGTTAAGGAGGTATGCAGTTTTTGCAACGTTTCCTTATCTAGGGAAAGGATGATATAACTGGTGAGCCTCTGTTTAAAAGAGATGATGATGTGGCTGAGATTGTAAGCAGGAGGATAGAAGTCCATGACAAGACAGAGAAAAAGGTTGTAGACTACTACAGGTGAGTACTGTACGTGTAATTATAACTGATTAGCATCTCCATCTAGCAACGTTCATTTTGTTTTTTTTTGTGATAAGTCGTTTAATCTTCCAGAAATCAAGGAATCTGCATGACTATGAAAGGTGAAAACTCCACCGTTGTATTCAATGCCATTTCGGAAGCGATGGTAGAATTGCTGAATAAGTGTGCTGTCGGTTGATAGTCACAGTGAATTACGTCTGACATGTTAATTTCTAACGGTAATATGGGTTCTGTTGATAGGATTGACATCCGAACTTCACAAGTTTTACTTAAGAAGTACCAGCTTTATAACATTTGAAGTATCTCGACCTAATTTCTGATCTAAATACACCTCTTCTGGTATTACCCAACCATTATAACTTTGCTGGTTCCAGAAAAATTTAACATAGTGTCATGTTTGCCAAGAAACCGCTGGGCTGCTCATTCGGAATATCAACCCTTTTTTGAGTTCGTATAACGTTTTGCTTGTTATACGCTTCTGTTTTGTTCTTGTCAGTGTTCTGGAAAACGCTGAATGTTGAGTTTGATTTAAGCCATTATATAGGTGTGTATTATTTGTGTTATCTTTTTACGTTTTATGCTATAAATGCGCAATGTCTCTTTCTCTTTGTAGAATAAAGGTGTTTTTACAGTTCCGATGGTCGCTGTGTGAGACACGGACGAGTCTAGCTGTTTTGTGTAGGCGACGGGAAATCGCTCGTATTCCACTATGCCGTCCAAAATGTAGCTCACTCTGGCTCAAATTATGTCGGAGTCTCATGCATATGCATTGATTTCAACGTATGTGCATCCGAAATTGCTCAATGCCTTAAAATTTTAGAGAAACACATCTGAGTTCGTCTTAGACTTCATTAACTGGACTAGAGACGATTGGAATCTGGAGGGCATTGCTGACAACGTACAACTCCTTTATTGTAAGGCGACAAGTCCTTCGAAGCCTGCAGGACATACTTTTCTCTTTTCTCGTTTTCCTTCTCTTTTTCCTTTTTTTTGTTTTTGTTGAGGCCTATTTCCTTCCAATGCATCGTTTATGTTTGCTGCACCTACTGTTACGTTAAACGTCTTTGTAATGTAACTTTGTTTGTACTTTTATAAAGCCGATTTTTAAACAGGTTTGCCGTTAAAGCAGTAAAAGCAAAGCAATCTCTTTAAAATGGGTGATGTGTCTGCGAAGGGATGAATCTCCTGTTACACATTAAAGTTCAGTAACTAGTCTTAGCCTCGATGGTAATCATTGTTTTAAATTACCCATCTTCATGTGTTGCACTGGTCTCACCACATTTTTCTTTTCCTTTCGTTGTCTTCCAGCTGTCATTCATGAAGGTTCTAGACGGATCTAGGTGTGGATTCGCCCTCAACTTAAACGTCAACCATCCTCCCTTTTTATTAACGTGCTCGACGTTTGTAGATTTTTCTTGGAATGCCAAGTATGAGGACCTAAACCGTTGTCTGGTCTTCATCAAAGGCAGTTACCGGATCCTTGCCGAACGGAGGTTGTTTGCTGCCTTGCGATTCGAAATGTTCCAGGACAGCAGTGATTCCTGCGATGGTAGTGAATCCCTCCGTTCGGGATTAGTTGACCAACTTCTCAGGGACGATTTGTAAAACTGTTTTATACATTAAAATAGGAAGAATTAGTTGTAGATTTGAAAATTATGTTTATATTTGGTTTCGTATGTTTTTGGTCATTTTTTCCATTAAAAAAACGCCATTGATCTCCCGCATAGAGGGATCCAATGCCGGTTAGCCACGAGGTAACGTGGCGCCTCCACAGGTGGCGGATAGAGGGTTAATCGCGGACCAAAAGCGTCCTTTGCTTCCCTGAGACGCAGTTGCAGATAGGGTTGGCTCCCTGTTTCCGCTTCGCCGATTTGGCACGTATCTTCTGTATCCATGACGCCATTCATGCATGCGTGCGTGGGTATGATCTGGTTTATGCGGGTTGTATTATACGAGTCAGTTCGGCCAAAAGCCTGCAGTCAAGGTAAATAGGTGGTTGGTAGTTGGGACTCCCACGACCGACTTTCTATTAACCTCGGCATTGATCAAGTAATTCTTCGTATTTTTGTTGAGCAAACGCGAGGTGCTATTATTCTTTATTCACGAATAAGCTGACGTTTCGGCGGATTTCGCCTTCCTCAGAGCCTGGAAAGGTCAAGTTGATAGCAATCTACTCGGCCAGACGCCTCCATAACCAAACAAAGAAACTCTAAACCAAGATTTCAATCACATTGAACACAGCTTTGCACACTCACCGCTTTCTATGAGGTTTCCACTAAGTATGTCACGTAGAGACCAACCGCACAGAAATCACATGGGAGCATAATGTGCCTCTCCCATCAAAATAGCAGTCTTATATACAGCCCTATATCGCGCGTGATAATGAGGCATTCTTCCCTGCGGTTCATTTTTGGATTTCTGGAATTAATCCAGAATGCCTCGAGAGTTTTTCGCGCCTGTATTCTTTGGTTATGGAGGCGTCTGGCCGAGTAGTTGGGACTCTCATCCAACAACTAAGCTATTCGTCTACTCTGTAGTAGACTGGCAAGCTGCCCGTGAGTATACCCAGCGTCAAGTTCAGAGCTCTGCAAGCTATACGTAGGTATCAAAATGCTAAAAACACGCTTGAACAGAGGTGGGTCAATACCGGTCTTGGCAATCTTCGTCATCAACGCAGCTATGCACCGACATAATGTAATGTGGAAAGCGAAATCGAAGCGTTCCGTACGAATTTGGAGAAATTCTACGGAGAAGACCATTCGTTCTATAATGTCATCGTTGAAGATTCTACCGCTAAGAATGGATCCAGAAGAACGTCACATGGGGACTCATGGATTATAAAAGTTGGGTGAACGGCTCTCTTAGTTTGTCATGAGGACCAAGACCATTCTTGGTAACTCGCAATTCCAGAAGGCCCATTCTCAGCGATCGATGTGGGAGTCTCCCATTGGAGAGTACCACGAAGTTAAAGTAGTAAATTGAAGGTTTTGCCTAACCTATATCACTTTTCTCCCAGAATTCTACGTGGAATCAGACCATCGTCTGCATCGAGCAAGGCTTCACTTCTCACGGAAAGGAGAAAAAGGCGCAAAATTCTAAAAAGGAAGCCTCAAAACCACTAGGATTCATTCAGTGCAATAGTCCACTGTTGGGTAAATGCAGTTCTTGATACCATTGAGGGGCAATACGATCGGCTCGTTCAGCATCTTCATGTTAGCGTTATGGAAGCTGAGAGTTCGAAATTCACCATGAGACGTCCGTCTCCAGAAACGCTAGAGCAAATACGCCAACGTGGAATCGCATGAGCTTCTGGCATCTTTCAACTCAAGTCCGTACTTGCAAAACATTGCAGACAGGCGTTAAAAGAAGATCTTAAAGAGTAAAGAGCAGCAGTAATGGTCGAAACTGCAGGCTGGAAAATGAATTCACAATGGAGAAAATCATTCACGAATACTACTCGGATCTCTTCGATAGTCACGTCCACCTTCCGTCATATGAAATAAAAAAGGATGGGTATGTTGTACCACTGGTTCTACCTTCCGAAATCCGACATGCCATTTCGTCGGTGAAAAATCGAATAGTACCAGGTCCGAACAGGTTGTAGTTTGAATGCCTAAAGCGCCTTTCACCAATCCTGATGAATACACTGGGGGTCTTCACACATTATCTGTCCGAATGCAAGGTCCCTACTCAATGGTAGACCAGGAAAACCGTGCTATTGTTCAAGAAGGCTAATCTCCACGATATCGGCAATCGCCCAGTATGCTTACCGTATATCTTTTCAAACTCTTCATTCGAGTCATCCCAAACAGGATTGACGGAACACTGGATGTAGGACAGCTGTATGAGCAAGCACGGTTTCGAAAAGGCTTCAGTATGATGGATCACCTCGTCACGATAGGAAGACTCATTTGAATTATCGTCAGAATACAAGAGACCGCTCTGTCTCACTTTCGATTTAAAGGAGACTTTTGACTCAATTGAGATAGAAGCTGCCATGGAAGCTCTAGACAGGTCAGGGAGTCGCTCCTTTGTATGTAAAGATTCTTTTTGAGCTGTGTAAAAATCTCACAACCAAGATACCACCATTCTACAACGATGTTATCATTGGCGTCAAAAGAGGGGTTAGGCAAGGCGACACTATACCGCAAAAATTATTTACCGCCACACTCCATAATGTCATGCGAGCACTGGAATGAGACAACAAGAGAGTGAAAATCGGTTTTCGAAAATTACACTGTTGGCAAAGAGCGAGCAGATACAAGCTGATTTTAGCAAACAGCTCAAGACCATTTAGCACTTCATTCGAAGGGGCAAGCCAGCCACCAGCACACTCAGAACCCAACATCATTCGTTTATTTGGCAACCACACCATATAGATCAATTCCAGTACTGTAGAACTACAACTTCCATTTGTTGAATCCCCTTTACAGCCTCTCAACCGTTATGGAGTAAATACGTGCATATTACAGAACTTTCAAATAATAGACTTCATGACACAGACCCACCTTCGAGAGTCGGACAGAGACGCAGCAAAGATTAATCAACTAATTAATCTCTGCACTATCTAATGTTCAACTGATTGTTCAACCACTAAGCTACTACTAAATAGTGAGGTCAATACTACATCGGTCACCATAACATTGATGCATCAATCGCAGTCACCCCTACAATGGTCTACATATGCTACAACAGAGCACGGCGAACTGTTGGTGATTACATTCTCACTTAAAACGATAGAAAGGATATTTCATGCCTGAAAATTACATGTTAAAACAGTGCCCTTCTCTTAAATTGTCTCTAATGCTGCAAATGACATTAAATCTCCTTTGAACTGGAAGGAGCAGAAAAGCCGACAGATGTTCGGATCAAATTCCAGAACTTCTCGTGATAGCCATCTCTCTATTACATTCAAGTTGAAAAAGGGAAACCATTACGGCCAACTATTTCTCGCCAACTTTGCAGCAGATGAAAACATATTAGACATGCTCAGTGATCACTTGGAGAAAGCGATCCACTACCAAACGGCCTCTGACAGACGAATGGGAAATGCAAATTGAACACAAGATTGGAAAATTTGGATAGCAGAGGAGGAATATCGCAGTGCTGTTCACTGATGTCTCTTCGAAAAAATTTCACCTTTTGGGAAGGAAAGAAGAAGAAGTTGCACGATATGAC